GTTGAGCTGGTTCATTTTACTGATTCGAGTTTATAATTTGAGTTGAGATATAATTTTATGTGAGACTTTTTTACTGTAGCAAAAAAGTTAGATGTGACTATTTCTGAGAACTTTTTATTGTAATAATACTCAAATTCTAAACTCGAATCGGTGAAGTGAACGGGGCCATAATATATAACAAAATTTAAACACAGTTTAAATATAACAAAATTTTTTGAAATATTATACTAATTACCAAGAAATAATTTTCAGAGTTATTTTTTAGCACATGCCCAACCTTGTGGTAAGATAGTTCTTAACACATTTAGTTGAGAAAAATTCTTAAGTTTAAGGTTTTCATTTTTGGTGAGTTGTGAGAGTTGAGAAGACAGCGTTTTAAACTTTTATTGATCTTTTGAGTTGGTTAAATCATTAATGGAGCATCACTACTTGACTTGTGACATTTGCTTTAAGAGATGATTTTTGGTTAGAAATAATCTTTAGAATTGAGCTATGTGTTGTAAATATTTATTATTTTTCTTTTGTATTTCTTTCTAAAAAAAAAGAGAAAAAGAGCAAGGGCATTATTTTATCATCAATGTTTACGTAGTTTGACTGCACTCACGTCTTGTGTTGCATAGCAGTCAGTCAAAAGAATGCCTTACTACATCAACTTCATCAAATGTATGTTGTCTCTTGCCTTAAGAAAAAAAAAACAACAAAAAAAAGAAAAAAAGAAAAAAAAGTGTGAGTACATTTATTTGTATTTCTCAGCTTTGTGTTTGTTTATTAGATTTTATTTTTTACCAAAATGAAATCCCGAAAGCTTGTTAATGGTTTGAGTGATGGATTGTTCCAGATATTTGATATGTCTATTATTTGATGAGTGTTTGTTTATTAGCTTGTCCTTTAATTGTTTTCTCTCACTTGAGCGTTGATTGATTGACTTCCAACTCCATGAGTGAAAATCCTTTGCATTAAAATATTTCTGACACCCGTGAGGTAAATGGAGTTGAGACTTTTTCTTGGAGAATCTTTTGATGCTATTTGTGTTATGGACTGTGGTAAGAGGGATACGGTTTGGTGCACACACACACAACTCTGGAGTTATGACTCAAGTAGTTTTGATAGCATTTTCTGAGCACTTACTAATGTTTTGTTTGATTGCTTAGGTGATTTTGCTTGTTTTGATTTGAATTTTCAGCTTGACATGATTTTTCTTTCGCTAGAATTGCTAGGGACTAACAATAAGTTGGTTGGGGGTTGCGATAAGTGCATGAAAATGCACTTAAATTGTTCATAATTGCTAAATAAATTAAGTTTTAATTAAATATTTTTGTGGAATTAATTTTTTGTGAAAGTATTTAATTTTATTTAATTTATTTTGTTTTGTAGGGAAATTTAATTTGTTTTGTAAGGAAATAAGACATTTGGGCCAAAACTAAAAGAAAAAGAAAATGAAGCCCATCAGCAGCCGTCCGCCGAGCCGAGCCAAGCTGAGCAGAGCCGCGCCAGTCATCTAAGCTCCGCCACGTGTCATTTTCTGTTGCGCCGCAGACATGTGGGACCCAGCTGTCCCCTCGTGCACGTGCATTTGGCGTGCACGATTTCCTCCCCAGGCGAGTTTACTCCACGCACATATCAGCCAATTTTCTATCCACTTCCGCATGGCTCCCGCCGTCCAGTAGCTCTCTAACCAGCTCCCGCCACACGTCCCGTGGGACCCAAATGCTCCCTCACACACGCACGCTTGGCGCGCAACTCCTTCCCCCTGGGCGAGTTCCTTCCACGCTCGCGTCAAACCTTTCCTCTGTGTGGAACCAGCTGTGCAACATTTCTTCCTCTCCGCGAATCAACGGGCGCCACATGTCAGAATTGATGCATCTATCGGCAGTTTTCTCCTCTCAGCCCATCTTCGCACGACACGTGTCCCACCCATTTGGGATTCTTTAACCAGCGATCTGTTTTGGTTCCGTTAGGATAATTTCAGCATTCACTCTCAAAATAAAGCCTTGTAAATCCAATTTAAGTGGATTAGAACGTTTTATCTCTTTGTTTTTATTTCTCCTTTGATGAATGTTTTCTTCTTATGCCCTAAAAACTCTATAAATAGGGCCTTTGTTAAGTGTATTAGGTTGTTGATTTTTAGCCTAGATTAGACACTTTTTCTCTCATTTTTATCTTGCTTTTGTTCTCATACTTTTTTTTTAGAATTTTGTGGGAATTATGTGCAAGCTAGGCTAGAGTTCTTAGGTGAGGCTAGAGATGATTCTATATGTGTAGTAAGCTTGTTTGGGTTTTGATTCTCTAATGGTTTGTAAGTTTTATACATTTGAGTAAATAATTTTCTTTTATCATATTTCTTCCTCATATCAATATATTTTATTGTTAACTTTTATATAAATCTAGTCAAGCTCTTTTTATGTGATTGTTGCATGTACTATATATTGGTAGACATTATTTTATGAGTAGTCTTTTACTACAATATCACCCCGAGGTATATTGTCGCTTTTAGATTTCTCATAAGATAATTTTTCCTAGTTCTAAACGTAAGAATTTTATTTACTCAAATACATTTTTAAAGCATAGTTGTTCAAATCTTATTTTTCAATTGATTGTTTGGGATGTAAAACTTTCAATTGAGTCGATTTATGAATCAAAATCCAAATAGGTGAACAAAGCATATAGAGGATTCTCAATGTCTTACCACTTTTAATTATTGAATTTTCTCTATTTTGAATTGTTCAAAAAATCATTAAAACACTCCTTTCTCTTTTTTGTTTGTTTGCTTACTTTCCTAACGTTTTTTATTTGCTAATCATTTCTTGTTTAATTTATCGCCTTCTCGTGGGATCGACCGTCCTAATTATGCTACAATTGACCGCTTATTTTTGTACACGTTTAAGCATAATCAATGATCTTGGAGCTTGAAATATCATTAGACATCCAAAGTCCAAACACATTTATTTAAATTCCGATATCAACAAAATCACCATTATATAGTGCCACAAGAAAACTAATGAGAAGTATATATTAACAAGATTTTTGAAGAAAAGACAAATGTACAATGAGATTTTAATAATTTGCTCAATCAAGCAAGCTTCAAGGCATCAATATGATTCCTCAGCCGTCTTGCATTTGCTTTGAACTTAAAAACTATCCCTCCAAACAAAGGTTTCATCCCCAAAGCAATACTAAGAACCAAGCTCAATTTGATATTCGTTTTTACCTCTTTAAAGTACCAAGAAATAATTAGATAGACATTGAGCAAATCGATTGCAACGACGGAGAAGAGTCTGATGGAGAATGAGAGTCGATGAGAAGGAGGGTGGCGATGAAAGAGCCATGGAGGAACACGAGGAGGAAAAGCTCCAAGTTGGACGCCATCTAGTGGAGCAATGGTTGAAGTAATGACATTTGATTATTAAAAAAAAAAAGTTTAAGAGTAGTAATGAGATTTGGTTATTAAAAGAAACAAGTTTAGGCGTTTGAAGTATATAAAAGATTCATGCAAAGATGAAAAAGGAGCATTTTGGTAATTGTTTGAAGGAGGAATAAATGTTTGGGATCTTGGGGCTGTTCATGCAAGCAAAGGAAGAATTCTTATTCTATGCTTGGGACATTGGAAATTTAGACTGCCTTGAAAGAACAAAAAGTTTGTAGAGAAAAAGACGTATTGAGATGAAAAAAAGCCAAAAAAAATCGTCACCAACAGGATTCGAACAAAAAGTTTGGAGTTGTTTATGTGTTTGTTTTTCACGTTTTTTGAAAAAACACAATTAAAAATAAAAAATAAAAATGAAAATGATTTTTTAATTTAGTGTAAAATAAGAGAGGAATGAAAACCGACTTTTAATCGTTTTTTATTTTTTGTTTCCGTTTTCTCCTCTCTCGAGTAGAGAGAGAGAGACATTAATGGATTTTTTTTATACTGAAAATAATCTCTTGATAAAACTACCAAACGCATTTTTAAAAATAATTTATGTTTGAGATTGAAAACGTTTTCATTTTCATTTTCATATAAAAAATAATTATTTTAGAATGAATTCCAAACGCACCCGTAGTTTTTCTATGTCAGCTTTTACATCAATTGTTGAGTAAAAACTATTTCCTAATTAATTAATTAACTTTACTTAACTTTACTTTAAATTTTAAAATATAATTCTATACTTTTAAATTTGGAGAGATTCTTTGGCCATATTTTTCTAACCGTGGGATCTCCATACTTTTTAATTTTTACATAATTTTATACATATCTAAAAAACAAAAAAAAACCCGACCTACCGACGTACCAAAAAAAGTCTACTAAATTTATTCAAAATTTATTTGAGATTATTAAACGAAGCTTTGCAATTTCTACTTTGAATGAAAAGATGAAAACAGAGGCTCAAATATATTTAGTAACGCTATTTAGCCTCGTTTATTTCACTGATTCGAGTTTTCAATTCTAAGTTTCTACGGTTAAAAACTCTCAGAAAATATCACATCTAACTTTTTCTGCTACAGTTAAAAGCTCTCAGAAAATGTCACATCTCAACTTGAATTGAAAATTCGAATCCGCAAAGCGAACGAGACCTATATGTATCCGATTGCCACAATGTCCATGCATTTTTAGATATTTGTCTTCCAACAAAGCTTTTGTACGCATATGTTCGAGTCATCCACCGAGCTCACAAGGCCCAAATAAATTTCGACGTGGTAAATCCACGGTTACTTTCATGGGTTTGAATCCCCCTCCTCTCAAGTTTTGTACCGCGGAATTCTAACCACTAGACTAAACCCGTAACCACGTGTCTTCTTAAGGTGGGCAGGAATTTACCGCTAGACCAAGCTTCATGAACTTTATATATTTTTTGAGAAATCGTATTTATCCCTACAACCTTGTAGACTTGTATGGGGTGTATTTTTTTACAATTTAAGTCACAGCTTAAACTTTTTTATGTGAGAAAAAAAACTATAATAAAAAAATTAAATTTGAGTTTTTGTGAGAGAAGACATTGTAATAAATGAACTTAGTTGTGAAAATAAGTCTTAAATGAAAGCTCTAACCCAGTAAAAAAAAATTTGTTTTTAGGTAAAAGTTTTGAAACTATAAAAAAGAGAAAAAAAAAGTTCAGCAACATAATCTGTGAAAACTACAACTATAGACCTGGGGGTTTGAAAAATGGAGCCAAATTGAAAAATCCTTCCACATCAACTGGAACATTAAGAGCCTGGCGAACAGACTCTGGTGTGGCAGTCTTTCCCTTCCAAGTGTTGAACCATGGTCCACCTCCAACCTCCGCCGCTGCCATGTCGCTTGTAACGTCCAAAATAATCTACATAGTTTACCAAATCCAGCGTGTGTTAAAAATCATCAAAGCAAAGTGTATTTCATGGAAGTACAATAGTGACTAGTAAGATTACAAGCTTTTCTAAAAGATGTTTCACTGAATGGCTACCACTAAAGAGCCAAATTGTACTCGCCAAACACAGGCATTAGAAGAAAAGAGAGCAAACAAGTTGGGGAGAATTATTTCAACATTGTTATACTCGGAAGGGGGAAAAACATAGAACATGTACCCATCACATTAAAAATGCACATACCTATCTGACTCGTATAGGATCAATCCCAAATATGCCCACAAGGCAGGCAAGCAAACAATAAAAAGAAGGGCATTCATTTCATTTGGTCTCACGCTATTAAGTGGCAAAATCTTGATCACCGAACTCTTCCTATTTGAAAAAAAAGCTCTTTGAACTCCTAAGATGGTTGTAAAAAGATTGAGATTGCCAACAGACATCCAACTTTGGCTGGCTTTTTCATCATGAGACCTTAATTTGCTTCAAAAGACTAAAATACCCCCAAATAAATCAACACCCTTTTTTCTTCTTCATCTTCATCTCCCTCACTTGCAGACCAAAAATTGCAGCCCCTAAATCTGAGCCTAAGCTCGACCTCCAAAAAAAGAAAGAAGAAAAAAAAAGGACACGATCCAAATGATGACAGATTGGGGAAGAACTTTTGAACCAAGCCACCCCATGGCCTGCTGCGAGGCCTGCACCGTGATCCCTGCCCCGTCACACCTCCTCCCATCGACACCCAGCCTGTTGAGCCTCTTCTATTGCCCACTCTCTGCCCAGATCCCGTAGGTCTCAGAGATGCCCTTGTCACCCCTCCTCCCATCTCGTGGACTTAGTTCCTTTGCTGCTTACCCCCTCCAACCACCACACACACACACACACACACACACACACACACACACACGTGTGTGGAGTGTGATGAAAATTATGTATTGAGAAAAGAACTTGATCAAACAAACTAAGCAGATAAGACGCCGGTGTTTTTTTTTTTTTTGGGTCATAAGTACTAGTCAAAAGATGCTTCACTTGATCCAAAGACCTAAACCAAGATGACAACAGCAGTAACAAGAAGAAAAATGAAAACGACGATATCTAGTCAACAACAATAAGAACAATAGTATAAATTGATAATGATGACAATAATAACAATAGTAATAGTAATTATGACAGCAAGAATGCTAATGATCATAACAGTAGTATAGAAAAAGAAGAAAATATTTCAAGTGGGAGAAAAAATGCACCTTCCCCTTACTCCCGTCAAATTTTCGCTCCCAGATTTGCAATTTTAATACAGCAAAACAAGTATCTTTACAAACCGGAGCAAGTCCAGCTTCTGATGTTGGAGCGCGTAATGTTGTACCTGAATGCTGGGTAGTTGCCTCCAATTCGACCTGCTCGTAAACAAGAAACTACATCTGTTATTAGACTGATGTTAACTGTGATATCTTCAATGAAAAGCTTAGACGTAATTGTAAGCTTGCATCAACGGGTAGACTGATATGTGTCCTTTTGCTTCCACGAGTATTATCAAAGTGTTTCTACTTTAGATTCAAAGGGCAGTGAGCTTTTTTAAATATATAAATATAAGCAAAAACTTTATTAGAAAGAAACAAAGAAAAGGTCTAACCATAATAAAACATGAAAAGCCCAAGAAAAAGGAATAACAAAACTGAAAGCAAGAAAAAAAAAAGGAATAAAACATCAAAGAAGCAGACTTAGGAAAAAAATCTAAGATTCTCTCATTTTAAAACCCTTTACCCTAAATGACTTTTTCTTCTCTTGATAGTCGTTCATTTTTTTTTCTTAAAATATTAAGATCTGCCAATTTTTCTCAAGAACCCGAAGCAACAATTTTCACTGACTTCTGAGGCAGTATTCAATTATTTATTTCTAGTTCAAAGGGCACCGAGCACATGCATTGGAATTGGGCATGTGCAAATTCAATCTGCATAGCTGATGGCCCGTTCTCCATTTCCTAGATATGTCTTTTTTTCTTTTTCTTTTTCTTTTTTTTCCATCTTAAATCCAGATTAATTTGTGTGCTTGTTTTAAATTCAGATAGTAGTTTTTTTTCTTTTCTTTTCTAGGTCGTGTTTCTTTCTTGATCGTTGAGGGAATAGTCCCTCTCTCTGTTTCTCCATGTTTGTTGTGAATGAATAGCACATTTATAATAAATAATTAACCAGTAGTTAACAAATAATTGCAGGAATGGAAGTACAAATCTTTGCAAGTTACAGAACGTAAAATCTACTCCAACATAAGGTTATAGTTAAACAAGTTTCCGTACCATGTGTGTATTGTTCTCTCCAGCCAAATGCCAGTAACCCCAAGAAGCAATTTCCCAACTCACAACACCATTCCATGGCACAAATTCATAAAATTTTCCACCATAATGGACTCCAACCTGCATCCATGTATCAGCATAAACGAACAAACTCAAAAACAATGAGACTACTAATTTTGTTAAAAGTATGCTAATGCTCTCACTTTTCAGGAAAATTGCTACACAAGTTTCAATGCATATTATAATTGAAGCAGTGACTAGCAAAATTGGTACGCAAAAGAGCAATGGTTTTTGACCTCATTGTTTAAGAAAATAAACGTAAATACCATATTCTTGAGAAAGATCGCAATACCACTTCCATTCAACAATAATCTGACTGAAGTGGACGAAAAACAACACATGTGCTTAAAAAAGTCAGGTTCGTTATTGCACAGTTCATATCCCTCCTTTTATCATTTCTCTTTAATAACAGCTTTCCCTTCATGGAAAATATCTTGAAAAACTTAAAGATCTGAAAATATTGTGGGAAAAGTACGGAGACCATTAGTAGATGATTTTCACCAATGCAGCATTTTCGAAAGTCTCTGTCAGCCCAGGTATTTGCCTATATCCCCCAGCTGCAGTCAGTGCAACTTCTCCAGTGGCGCCTTCAAAAACATTACTTTGAACCTGCAGTACAACAGCAATAAGCAAGGATGCAGACGTGAACACGATTGCTTGCGTAGTATATAAATGATGACATACCCATAAAATATTAAATCTCCAAATAAAGACACTTCACCATGAAATGATACAATGTAAAAGAACATTGTTAATCAGGTCATTAAGAAAATGGTGGTTAGAAAATTTTTCTTAATTATTCTTTGTTTCAGTATCTAGCAGGCAATATTTCTTCCTCAATAGACCTGTGTTCACAGCAATAACTTACTGAGAGGCCAGAGGAAAGAAACATCACCAGTGTCACCAACTTTTCATAACACTAATTGCAAAACTTTTTTGAACCCATTTCAGCTGATATCCATGGGTGGATAAGAACTTACCCAAAACCATTTTCTAGGAAAAGCTCCGCCCCAATTCTTTTCACAATAGGAAGGGGCATTTTCAAACTCAAACCTTTCACCATCCCACTCTATCCAACCTGAATATAAATTTGAAACATGAGGGAATGTTGTCAATAATGTAAGCAGGTGAACACACAAACTTTGGGTAAGAAAGGCAGATAATTGTCTCAACAAGAATTGTAATAGAGTTAAAACATCGCATTTTATAAACAAAAAAAGAGGATAGGGAGCTCAACATTGCAATAGTATGTCCTCAAAAGATGAAAGCTATGGAAAAAATAATACAGGATAATTAATTACACTTATAAGTTGATAGCAACATTTTGGTTGCAACCAGCACAAAATCAATAACATATTTGCAGCCAGAGTGCCATAACTTTAAAAAGGATAAGAAAAAAAAAAAGAAACAGAAACAGAAACAACAGAGAAAAAAAAAACCAAAAACAAAAACGAACAAAAAAGAAAACAAACAAACAAAACACACAAATCCATTAGCTATAACCACCTCTCTCTCTAAGGATGCACATCCATACACAGTCGCAACAACACTGGCTTCACAAACTCAAACTCATATTTACAATGTCGACGGGTCAAAATAGCAGACTTGGATCCAACAAAAAACTAACAAGCACAGTAGGATATTACAGAAATTCTCCTTGAAAAACAAAGATATTAAAAACAATCGAGTAATGTTAAGAATTTCACTAGGTGAGACTAGGGAGAAAAGCATGTGCCTGTTGATAATCCGCCTGCCATGCATATTTGCCAATGGGGTTCAAATACAGGAAATGCTGCGAGCCACCCTGCAGTAGACTTTTGTTTGGAGCCAACATCACCCCAGCCAAAAACTGGGCGCGTGCTGTACTCCCAACGAGCAGTCTTCACAACATCCACATAATCTGACCTGTCGTCAGAAGCTTGTTAACATGTAAAATTGACTAAGCAGACAAAGTTCAAGATAGTTACAGCAGAACGTTCTGTTGCAAAGCACAAAAATGGAAACAAGAAAGGTATACCTGCCATCGTCACAAATGAAACCTTGGTTCCAAAGTGGGGTGACTTGAAAACCTTCCACCACTCTCCTATTGAATTCCTATTCAGCACAACCCATGCCATATAAGAAATATAATACATACATACGTACATATAAAACTAGAGAACCAAAAGAAGAAGATATATCAACCTGAGGAGGAAACTCTTTGTTTGGAGGCGTCTGTCCTTTTTCTGCTGTAAAAGTATTCCCCAAACTCAGTTCATGCCTACCTATGCAGCAAAGATCATAAAGTAGCGTCAGACTCGATAGAGTTACACAAAAAGGTAATTTCATCTTTGCTAAAAAAATATTAAACGGATAACAAAGAAATGAGAGATTAAATTGGACAGAATAGAAGCCCAATAGCATCATTATTTTGAAATGCTAAAACATCAATTCCCAAGTTTTACTGAGTAAATGGATGGGAGTGCACAGGGAACAAAATCTACATTAAGATTTATAAGACCAAGTAAATAACTTTTAGAACACATTACAATAACATTGTTTCATTACAGTAACACTGAGTCACTGAGAGCTTCCAATAAACCAAACTTAGAACAAATTAGGAAAAAGTTCATACTTCCCCAAAAATTCTGAGATTCTTCAGAAAATTGACAGATATACTTGTCATAGGCACCGAGAATCTGTGCACCGACTCCGGTGAATCTAGGCCCATGCTGCGCCACTTCCCAGGGCGATAGTTTCCGGCGAAATGCAGGGTTCTCGACGGAGTACATGAAGCAAAAGCTCTGCTTCGTCTCAGGAATCGACACCTTGAAGTACCATCCCTCGAAGAATTTCCGCGTGGTTCCATCGAAATGATACCTTGCAATTAAACCAAGTTCGCCTCAAACCATTAGAAAAATCCTACTAAATTCTTGATTAATTGTCTCACTTTGCACTTTCCATTACATTCCGTCAATTTCTCTTTTCTTTTCCTCACAATTCCAAACAATCAAGTTCATGACTTCAAAAAATTGAAATTCAAACTACAATCTTCATAACCTAACGATGATTGAATGTATTACCCGCTGTGAGGAGTTCGAAGGTCGCGATTCGGAGGGGTCGGAGTGTAAACAGGACTGACGGAGGGCGATTTCTCTTCGTCTCTACGAACTTCCGAAACGGAATCGGGCGCCGACGATCGGAGATTCGTCTGAGAACGGAGCTTGGGACGGCCAGATTGGGGCCAAACAAAAGAGTGCTTGGGACGATTACAGAGCCGAACACTGGAAGTGGATTTAATGGAGGAAAACCCTGGGTTGATGGGATGAAGATGGTGAAGCTCGCGAGGTGAGAGAACGATTGCTTCCATGGCGGTGCAAGGATTTTTTTTTTATTTTTTTAATGATGGCGGTGTTAGTTTTGAACCAGGCGTTAAAGACAAAGCTTGAGAGGAACGTTTTTGTGCATTTCACCTTCTGGCGTGTAAATAATTGGTGGACGAGAGCCGACAAATGTGTCGACTTTTTTTTCTGAAATTATTAATTTTCAACTTTAAAAATCTGAATTAATGATGTAAAAAATTACAAAATACTATCTGCATTTTATTAAAATATATATTTCAGTCATTTTTTAAAGACAAAAGTATCTTTCTATTTCACAAAACACGTACAAATTCCTCCTTTTTGTCAAAAAGGTCAAATTTAATTAAAGAATAAAAAGACACAAATTGTTCTTATAAGAAAACTAAAAAAATAGGAAAAATTTTCAGATTTTCCTAAAAAAAAAGACAAGAAAAAATCATACTGGCAAAAGCATGGGGGACGTTTCTTTGTTTAAAGGGCACTCATCGTATACAACAAAATTTAAACACACTTTAAATATAACAAAATTTTTGAAATATTATACTAATAGAAAATTTTGATATCATTAAATTAATTACTACATCATTATATAGTGAAAAATGTGATATCATTATGATAATAATTATGTTATTTTTGGCTTTTTTAATATTTTTAAAATTTTACTAAATTTTAATTTAAGGTGTAGAATATTTTCACGTGGAATATTTATCTCTGTTTTTGTTTTCTTTATATAAGATTTAGTGAGCGGCATGTGTTAGCTTCTCAGGGTTTCCACACACTATTGAATATTGAGCATGTTGTAGCTATTTCAAGATTTTATATCTCTTTATTCGGACCGATTTGACTTGGATATAATATGCGTCTTTTTCTTTAAAAAAAAAAAAAGAAAAAAAAAAAGGGTTAGCGGCAAGCAAATCCTCCGTTGCATTCACGACCAATAACTACCACTATCCCGACGGCAGGAGACAACGGGTTTTCCCCTTGCAAAGCAACTAGGATTAGAATTGGTGTCAAAAAATGACATCAATCAATAGAATTCAAATATCAAAATTTAACAGATTTGTTGCTTCATGGTCTGTTAACTGATGTGTTGTCCTTGATGCGCTTGTGCTCTTCATTAGATGTTATTTTTATTCCTAGAAGACAAAATTATTTGGCAGTAGATGTTTTATGTAAGGTAACATTTGTTTTAAAGATTCTACTTGATTTATAATCATGGTTCTTAATTTTATTATAGTATTTTTTTCACAAAAAATTTAAATTTGAAAAATTAGAATAATGAACTATGATTTTAAACTCATAAACTAAACGTTACCTAAATAGGCTAGAACCTAGAGCCATACCGGTTTTAGGACAATTTTCTCTTAAGGAGGTCCTCCTGATGTGGTGACTTATGGCTTGTTCGGTTGCATTTTTGAGTTAGGGTGACTTGAGTATAGATCTTGAGTTGAGTTTGAGTTATAACTTGAGTTAAAGTTGTAACTTGAGTTTGTGTTTGGTTGTGTACATTTGAGTTATAATTTGTGTTGAGAATTTATTTGAGTTTGTGTTTAAGTGGGTAAAAAATTGAGTTTGTATTTAGATAGTATTCTTATAAAAATTCAATGACAATGGAAAATTTTAATAGGGTATATGGATGAGGTTTTGTTCATATCTTCGTTGTGAACGCATAGAAAAAAATCCTTTCAATCAGACTTAAAACGAAAAAATTATGATATTTTAAAATGAATAGGAGTAAAGAGAAAATATTATTTATTAATTTTTTAAAATTATGGCTGAACTTAAATAAAGGTGAATCAAAAGGTGAAGTTGAACTCAAAAAATCCAGCAGAACTCAAGTTTTTACCTGAGTCTTCACTTGAGTACGTGCTAGACGAACACTAACTTAGGCTCACTTCCCAACTTGAGCTTGGTTTTTTGAGTTTAAGACCCAAACGAACACACCCTTAGTTTCAATAAAAGTCTTTATTCAGCGAGGGGAAAAAAAAAATTCACATATATTTTTATTAGTGTTAAAATTGTTAAATTTAACATAAAATTATAATATATATATTAGAAAGTGATTTTCTGAATGCAAGTGTCAAAATTTAGGCTCCATTCTTTTTATAGTTTGAATCATAACTCAAATTTTTTATTATAGAGACTCTGATCTTAAGCTGAGTCTAGAGGACCAAGTTGTTAATCAATTTTTAAGAACGGAGGGCAGTTGAGTTTATAACTTCAAATTTATGACATATGCATTAACAACGCAGTTGTAATATCAAATAACCAAATAATGTTTGACAAATTAAGTAATTGATAAAAATATATATAATAATTAATGAGATTATAATTATCACACTATGTCATCACATTTATATATTTAATGGGTAACTATCAATAAAAACACGACCGTTAAAAACTCGTCCACACATTTTAATCACACTAAGCAGAGAAAAGCATGTACGAAATTACTAACTTAAGCATTGGATGGATGGCTTTGAATTGCTACCAACCCATTGCACTACGACAGTGAGATACCACTCACGAAAAATTTGAATGATCTTGGAGCTTGACAAGTCATTAGACATCCAAAGTCCAAACACAATTATTGAAATTCCGATATCAACAAAATCACCATTATACAGTGCCACAAGAAAATTAATGAGAAGTATATATGAACAAGATTTTTGAAGAAAAGACAAAATGTACAATGAGATTTTAATAATTTACTCAATCAAGCAAGCTTCAAGGCATCAATATGATCCCTGAGCCGTCCTTTGAACTTAAAAACTGCCCCTCCAAACAAAAGTTTCATCCCCAAAGCAATACCAAGAACCAAACCCAATTTGAGATTCATTTTTGCCTCCTCAAAGTACCAAGAAATAATTGGATAGACATTGAGCAAATCGATTGCAACGACAGAGAAGAGTCCTATGAAGAATGAGAGTAATAGGCCGATGGAAGCGAGAGAGACGGCGAGGAGAAGGAGGGTGGCGATGAAAGAGCCATGGAGGAACGCAAGGAGGAAAAGCTCCAAGTTGGACGCCATCTAGTGGAGCGATGGTTGAAGTAATGACATTTGGTTATTAAAAGAAATAAGAAGTTTAAGAGTAGTAATGAAATTTGGCTATTAAAAGAAACAAGTTTAGGCGTTTAAAGTATAAGATTCATGCAAAGATGAAAAAGGAGCATTTTGGTAATTGTTTAAAGGAGGAATAAATGTTTGGGATCTTGTGGCTGTGCATGCAAGCAAAGGAAGAATTCTTATTCTATGCTTGGGACATTGGAAATTTAGACTGCCTTGAAAGAACAAAAAGTCTGTAGAGAAAAAGACGAATTGAGATGAAAACAACCCAAAAAAAATCGTCGACAGCAGGATTCGAACCTGCGCAGGCAAAGCCCAACAGATTTCGAGTCTGTCTCCTTAACCACTCGGACATATCGACACTCCGGTTATAAATGACCTTAATTTTAATTTTAGTGTGTTGTTAAAATTGGTTTCTCAACCATTAATACATATTTAAATAACTTAGAAAGCTTGAATTATATTAATTGATCCCATCTCATAAAACAGAACGTTTTACTTTTTTATAGAAAATTTCAAAGAAATCTCATATGTTATGTTATTTTTTTTAAAAAAAAGAAGTTGTTCGTGAAAATTGCAAGTACACAATATACATACAAGTAATAAAATGATAAGTAAAATATAATTCTCACGAGAATTACGTCGATTTTAATTAAGTACATAATGATGACTTGATAGTATTGACATCTATAATAAATTTTGACCATAGAGGAAAAAAAGAAGTATTATTACATCTACAGATAAAAAGGTTTTTTTTCCAGCCAAAAATAATAATAATAATAAAAGGTCCTTTTTTTTAAGTTTTTAGCCAAAAAAAAAAAAAAAACTTCCAAGGCTTGAACGTAAACGAAACAAAGCAAACCGAAAACAAGTTTGTCCTTCCCTCCCCTCCCCGCCGCCTTTAGTATTTACTAGTGGATTACCCGTGCATTTGCACGGGTACATAATAGTGTAATTAACAGTAATTTAAATAAATAAAACGTATAAAAACACACACACACATATATACCTGTTTATAAGTTGTTGTACATCTGTAACATGTATATATATACACATATTTATTTATATGTTTACATTTGAACATAAAAATATACATACTTTTTTACATATATACAGAGACTTATTCATGTAATCATTTCTTTTTCTTTTCGCTTGTCGTTTCTTCTGAGCTGCAGATAAGAAGGAAGAAAATAAGGAAATAAATATTATTAAATTGTAACAATTGTTAATAAATGTGTTCATACTTATTAAAATATTTAATATAACATATAACACATAATTTTACCTGATTTGTTTTCTTTTTTTTGATGAACTTGCGAAAGAGGTAGATTCATGAGGGACTAAAACATACTGAATTAGCTTTGAAACTGATGATGTTTATTTTGAAGACTCAGTTGTTATAGGTGGTAAATACAACTGAGGTTGATCGTCGTTGAAAGTCTTCAAAATAACTTTATCAATAAAAGCTCCCCGAGTCCGAAACTGTATGACAAATATTTTTGATATTCCTCTTATTTCCTCTAAAATAGGAGGAATCATGTAACAATCAGTGTATCCCTCATCATAAGTAAGTGTAGAGCAAGTTTTGTTAATAAGTGACTGCACAGTTTTACCGAACATTACAGCGTCTGTTCTTCCGATGTTATCTTCAATTTGTATATTTATTTTGTACCTGTATAAGAAAATTAAATTATATTTATTGTATTTGTTAATAGAAAATTAAAGCGCTTATTTTTTATAATAGAATTTATTACCAAGTAAGTGGCATTGTAGATAGATATCCATCGGTGTCACACCACCATGATGTTCCAAATTCTTGTACTTGTCTGTAACACTTTGTGCAGGCATAGTAAAACCATCCTTGATGTGTATATAAGTCAATTATAGTTGCTCTAACTGTATATTTTGTTTCCTATTATGTAGAAAAGGGAACAGTTTAATTCAATATATATACATATATTATTTAATGGACTATATTTATAAACTTTGTACCCGATTTTGGAATGCATCTAATGCTCGTAATTTTGCGATGG